GTCCTCTGGGTACAGGAGGTACTGGAGGTACTGGTACTGGTGGTCTTGCTACGAGTCGGCAGGAGGCTCTCTCGCCGGAGCGGCTACGCGAGTGGGCTGTCCAGTGGGGCAGCCCTGGTGGTGGAGCTAGCCGTCTGAGAGCTGGAGGTGCTGGGACTGCTGGAGCTGGAGGTGCTGGCACTGCTGGAGCTGGAGGTTCTGCTACTGGTGGTACTGGGGTTGCTCGTACTGGTGGCACTGGTGCACGTTGGCGGGCGACACTCTCGCCGGAGCGGCTTCGCGAGTGGGCTGTACAGTGGGGCAGCCCTGGTGGTGGAGCTAGCCGTGCTCGCTCTCCTAGAGCTGGAGGTACTGGAGGTGCTGCTGCTGTGGTTGCTGCTGCGGGTTGTCCTGGCTCACGTCGCCAGGCGTCTCTCTTGCCGGAGCAGCTTCGCAAGTGGGCTATCCGTTGGGGCAGTCCTGGTGGTGGCGCTGGACGTGCTGGAGCTGCAGGTTCTGGAGGTGCTAGCCCTGGAGGTGCTAGTGCTGGCGTTCCTGGTATTGGAGGCTCAGGAGCTGCTGGAGGTGCTGGAGGTTCAGGTTCTAGAGGTGCTAGCCTTGGAGGTGCTGGTGCTGGTGTTCCTGGTACTGGAGGCACAGGTGCTGCAGGTACTGCTAGAGGTGATGGAGGTGCTGGCACTGGAGGTACTACTGGAGGTGCTGTTGGAGGTACTGGAGTTAGTGGTGCTAGTCGGCAGGTGTCGCTCTCGCCGCTGCAGCTTCGCGAGTGGGCTGTTTGTTGGGGCAGTCCCGGTGGTGGAGCTGGGGGCACTGGTTCTGGGGGGTGCTGTTGCTACTGGAGCTGGAGGCACTGGTTCTGGGGGTGCTGTTGCTACTAGAGCTGGAGGTTCTAGGGGTGCGACTACTCAGCCGCAGCCGTCTGCGCTTCGTCACCTTCTCAGCCTCCTGGCTCGCTACGTGGCTCCCGGTAGACATCGAAAGATGCACTGGGATGTTGCGAAGAGGGCATTGCGTTACTTGTGCAGCACATCGGGCATGGGGCTCGTGCTTGGGGGACCAGGTCCAGTTGTTCACACCGGTCACTCGGATGCTTCTTGGGCTGACGACCAGACGACTCACCGGTCGACACAGGGGTACAGTTTCAACCTCGGCACTGGTTCTGTCTCGTGAAGGTCCACTCGCTCTTCTTCTGTACTTAGTTCCAGCTGTGAGGCCGAGATCTGCGCTGGGGCTATGGCTGCACAGGAGCTCTGCTGGCTGACCTACCTGCTGACCGACTTGGGTGAGCAGCCTCGTTCTCCTCCAGTTCTGTACGTCGACAACAAGACCATGATTGCCTTATGTCAGGACTAGAGACTAGAGCACAGAACGAAGCACACAGCTCTCCGTTACTTCGTTACGCGAGAGCTGCAGCAACGTGGTCAGCTTCGTCTTGCTTACGTGGCCACACAAGCCAACACTGCTGATGTCTTCACCAAGGCCCTTGGGTCTAATGATCATCAGCGTTTCTGCACTGCTCTTGGACTTGTCCCCACTCTGCCTCACTTGCTTGTCTCTTGATCTTGCTCTTGTTGTACACTGATATATATGAGTATACCTGCATGCTTACACTTGCTAGGTTGTGATCAATGTACTGCTCTTGTTATTATAAACTCTGCATGTGAACTAGCCTTGTGGCCGCTTGCTTGTGCTCAGAATGCGTGGTGATCTTGAGATCCACCCTGAGCTTTGTTTTACTTTGCTGCTTCTCTTGACTGGTCTTGTGACCCCTTGTTGTCCCCCTCTTTGCCTATGAGGGTGTGTCAAAACATGTTTATATCATATTAGTGATGTTAGGCTGTAGTGGGTTACTCCCTATGGGGTACAACCCTTTGTTAGGGTTGCTACTTGTACCACTCATCCTGCTTTAGTCATCATTCCTGTTTCCAAGTTCTAACATGAATTGCATTGCATCTCTTGTTGTGTTGCTTTTGCTGAGTTTGCTGGGTTTGCTGCAGGGCCTATTTTATCTGTGTAAATCACACTGCTATACTGATGAGAATGGTGAAATTTAGGGCCTACACTGATGTGTTTGGGTAATTTTTTTGGGGATTAGGGTTACACTGATTTGACAGTGAAACGATTTAGGCCGCACTGATGCTCTGGGGTAAAATTTCCCTTAGCGAAGATTACCCTTAAGGGCGTACAGGGCACCCCCCCCTCGAAACTCTACTTATCGAGACGAAGTTTCCTAGAAATTTCGTAACGATACACTCAATTTCGTAATGATGCACTACGACTCCAGCACGTGAGTACTGACAACCGACACCGCGTCACTCCATGTCTGCTTGCAACCTACTGTAGAGGCGATGCAACCTGATTGGTCAAATCTGCACTCACTGCAAAAACTTTAACTTTCTTGACTTGGAAATTTGGGACTCGAGGTCCCCAAACCCACGTCCCCCCCGGGAAGCTTGCTGACTCGGCGAAAAAACAAGTGTTGCAGCGAAACCAGACAAGCCACTGCGCTCAACTTTTGAGTTCACAACCCCCACCCACCAGCGCCCAATTTGGGCCTCGAGCTTGGTTGCTGCCAGCACATACTGAGCTGCCTAAATTACAATCAGGGTAAAAAATATACCTACACTGATGCCTCTGGGTAAAGTTTTCAAAAGTTCAAGTTACACTGATCCATCAGTGTTTCCAAAAAGGGCACACTGCTCAGAAGGGTTTTGAAAAAGGCTACACTGCTAATCGTGAGTAGCCAAAAACCAAACATAGGCCCTGGTTTGCTGACCGGCCCTGTGACTATTTGTTCCGACGGTTGGATAGACTAGTTGAGCCACCCTGAGTTGTTTGTCTCATTCGTGCGATGCCCCTCAGCCTGTGGGGGTGCATCAAATATTATCATAGTGTTAAGTTAGTTAGTCTACAGCAAGGTGCATTGTATAGGGTACAACACTTTCTAGGGTTTGCCCTATGTACCCATCTCCTAGTCACACATCATTCCGCTATGCTATCCTGACAGAGGGTTCCATATCACATCTGGAATTTGCCACTCTCATGCGCACACTTTACCAGCATGTTCCTTGGAACACAGGATGCTCTGAATTCCATATCAGGCCCCAATAGACATCAATGCACGGCGCAAGCATGTCACTTTGGTTCATGCAACGGTGGTTGCTGTGAGCTCATTCAATCCATGGTACTCACGGCCTTCAACATGGCAGGCAGAGGCAGGCAGAGGCAGTCAGAGGCAGTCAGCGGCGGCGCCATGCAGTGACGGTGAGAGCAGCCACACCTACGCCCCCCACAGCCATGCCGGCCAGCAAGCAGCGCCACGCCAGTGGCGAGAACAAGGGCGCGGGGGGTGCAGGCATGCGCAGCAGCGCTGCCACCTGCAGGTTCACGGGACGCAGGGAGAGGGCGAGGGGGTCCTCACGTACACTTGTGAGTGCGTGCATGCGGGTGCGTGCCTGTGTGCGCATGTGTATGGGTGTGGTGTGGGTGCGGATGTGTGTGCGTGTGTGTGTGCGTGCATGCGTGGGCGCTCACGAGTGTGCGTACCTGCATGTGTGTGTGTGTGTGTGTGTGTGTGTGTGTGTGTGTGTGTGTGTCACTAACGCTGTCAGTGCGCTCACATCAACGTCGGTGCGCTCACATCAATGTCGGTGCGCTCACATCAATGTCGGTGCGCTCACATCAATGTCGGTGCGCTCACATCAATGCCGGTGCGCTCACATCAATGTCGGTGCGCTCACATCAATGCCAGTGCGCTCACATCAATGTCGGTGCGCTCACATCAATGTCGGTGCGCTCACATCAATGTCGGTGCGCTCACATCAATGTCGGTGCGCTCACATCAATGCCGGTGCGCTCACATCAATGTCGGTGCACTCACATCAATGCCAGTGCGCTCACATCAATGTCGGTGCGCTCACATCAATGTCGGTGCGCTCAAATCAATGTCGGTGCGCTCACATCAATGTCGGTGCGCTCACATCAATGTCCGTGCGCTCACATCAATGCCGGTGCGCTCACATCAATGTCGGTGCGCTCACATCAATGTCGGTGCGCTCACATCAATGTCGGTGCGCTCACATCAATGCCGGTGCGCTCACATCAATGTCGGTGCGCTCACATGAATGTCGGTGCGCTCACATCAATGTCGGTGCGCTCACATGAATGTCGGTGCGCTCACATCAATGTCGGTGCGCTCACATCAATGCCGGTGCGCTCACATCAATGTCGGTGCGCTCACAGCAATGTCGGTGCACTCACATCAATGTCGGTGCGCTCACATCAATGTCGGTGTGCTCACATCAATGTCGGTGCGCTCACATCAATGCCGGTGCGCTCACATCAATGTCGGTGCGCTCACATCAACGTCGGTGCGCTCACATCAATGTCGGTGCGCTCACATCAATGCCGGTGCGCTCACATGAATGTCGGTGCGCTCACATCAATGTCGGTGCGCTCACATCAATGCCGGTGCGCTCACATCAATGTCGGTGCGCTCACAGCAATGTCGGTGCACTCACATCAATGTCGGTGCGCTCACATCAATGTCGGTGTGCTCACATCAATGTCGGTGCGCTCACATCAATGCCGGTGCGCTCACATCAATGTCGGTGCGCTCACATCAACGTCGGTGCGCTCACATCAATGTCGGTGCGCTCACATCAATGCCGGTGCGCTCACATGAATGTCGGTGCGCTCACATCAATGTCGGTGCGCTCACATCAATGCCGGTGCGCTCACATCAATGTCGGTGCGCTCACATCAATGTCGGTGCACTCACATCAATGTCGGTGCGCTCACATCAATGTCGGTGCGCTCACATCAATGTCGGTGCGCTCACATCAATGCCGGTGCGCTCACATCAATGTCAGTGCGCTCACATCAATGTCGGTGCGCTCACATCAATGTCGGTGCGCTCACATCAATGCCGGTGCGCTCACATCAATGTCGGTGTGCTCACATCAATGTCGGTGCACTCACATCAATGTCGGTGCGCTCACATCAATGTCGGTGCACGTCCAGTGGGCAGTGATGCCCTCCACATGCCCCTTGCCCACCACTGCCACCACGCGTGAGCTCCTCTTCGCCACGTGCCGCAGCATGCATGCCATGTACCTGGTGGAGAGGGGAGGGGAAGTGGGTTGAGGAGGGGGGGGGGGGGGGGGGGGGGTAGGGGTGGAGAGGGGGGGTGGTAGTGACATGACAGGTGATGGTACAGGGAGTGTGGGACCATGAACAGACCCCCACCCCCTCCCCCCCCATAATATCAAGCGTGCCCCCAACCCGGCACCTGCCCCCCGCCTGGCACCAAACCCGCGTGTATCGAGAAACTGTCACCAGGACTGAAGCTTACCTGCTCTGGGAGTTTCCACAAAATTCCCTTACTCGCACTCACCACATTACCCACCACTCGTGGTTACCTCCCAGCTTAGATCAGCCCGTTCGAATATTCACCCTGCCTCTTTCACTTTTGCCTTTGCTGCACCACATGTATGAATGACAAGGAGCGTTGAAGCGAGAGAGAATGGAAGGGTGGGGGGGCGTACAGGTCGCGCTCGTGGATGAGGGTGTGCAGCAGCGAGGGGAAGGCGCGTCCCATCTCCGCCACGGCGACCGACAGCAGGTCCGATGACTTGAGCTCCTCCACCTGCCGTGGGGGGTGGGGGACGGAGAGAGGCGCCACGGGCGAGAGGGGGCAGCATGCATGAGTGCGGGCAGAGCAGGCACTTGGCATGGCAGAGCAGGCACTTGGCATGGCAGAGCAGGCACTTGGCATGGCTGTGAGGCATGGGCAGCGAGAGCGGGTGCGACAGGTTGAGCAGAGGGCCGACAGGAGGGACGGCAGCAAGCTAAGAAGCCGAATCCCTAGTGCGCTGGTTGACTGCGTTGACCCGTGTTGACTCACGAGATGGTCGAGTTCGGCCTTGGAGGGCAGCCAGAGCGCCTGCAGCAGCAGCAGCGCCACCAGCTTCACTCGGTGCCACCGGCTCATCATCGCCCACGTGCGCCTCAACGTCACCTGCCATGCCATGCCATGCCATGCCATGCACGCCAGGGGGAGGGGAGGGGGAGGGAGAGGGGACGGGGAGGGGGAGGGGGAGGAGGAGGGGGTGTGGAGGGGCGTTGAAGGCACTCCAAGCGCCGTCGTGGTGAATGGGTGCCAGCGACTCTACCCTCGCATGCGGGCATGCAGCCCCCCCCCCCTCCGCCACCTACGCCCCCACCCCCTCCCCGCTCCCCCCCCCCCCCCACCTGCACGGGGCGGTCACCGAGTTTGACGACGGCGCCACACGCCACGGCCTCCTCGTAGGCGGCGCGGAACTCTGCCCCAGGGCACACCTCCATGCGCGCTGCCACCTGCCAGGGGAGGGGGGAAGGGGGGGAGGGACGCGCTCTGAGGCAGCAAACAAGGGGTTGGGGCACCTGGGCATGGCAGCGAGCAAGGGGAGGTTGAAAGTGCTGTGACAGGGACGTGGCTGTTTAGTGGATATGTTGTGACTGGCACCTTGCTCGTGCGTACCTTGGCCAGCAGGTAGCCGTAGATCACGGCGAAGGCGTTGGACTTGTTGCTGCGCCACACCGTGATGAGCTCCTGCAGCGATGGCACCTGGCCGTGGGGGGCGCGGACAGAGGGGCAGAAAGACGGGCAAGGGGATGAGGGTGGGGTTGCACACATGCATGATACGGGAAAACGCGGCACCACACTTCCCTACTCTTCCTCGTACTCATCTACTGCATTCATGCCACCCGTCCCAAATAACATCCTTTATTACAAGACAGGAGGTCCTTAAGAAGAGGAGATCATGCACAGTGGTCCATGGCATACCTGCATGTGGTCCATGGCATACCTGCATGTGGTCCATGGCATACCTGCATGTGGTCCATGGCATACCTGCATGTGGTCCATGGGCATGAGCATGGCGACGCGGTCGGAGCACACCTCCAGGAACACCACCTGAAGCACCTCAGAGGGCAAGTACCGGTTAAGAGGGGCGAAAGGCAAGCAACGGCAGCGGGAGGTGAACGATAAGCAGCTGAATAGCGAGGTGGTGTGTCAAAAGGAGGCAGTCGCTGGTGCACACATGCTAGCATGCATGTGGCATGATGCATGGTTGCAATGCATGTGGCATGATGCATGGTTGCAATGCATGTGGCATGATGCATGGTTGCAATGCATGTGCCATGATGCATGGTTGCAATGCATGTGCCATGATGCATGCTTGCAATGCATGTGGCATGATGCATGGTTGCAATGCATGTGCCATGAAAAGCCTGCCATGATGGAGGGGCGCATGAGAGGCATGTGCAAGGAGGAGCAGTGCGTGGCAGTAGTGGAGTGGATGGTGGGGGCGGGTCAGCCATGGGATGGGATGCGCCATGCACGAGAAGATTCCACGACTAGCAGCGCCCACCCACCTCCGGTTTGACCTGGCGGATGATTCGCCGCACCTCGTTGCACGACTCCTGCACGCACACAGACGCATGCACGCATGGATGGATGGACATGACACGGGCTTGAATTGTGTGCTGGGGATGGCGCCACCAGCATGGTCCGTTGCAGTAAAGGCGCAAGACTGAATCTCTCAAAACGCACAAGCAGCACCTCGGGATTTCAATGAAGGGCAGCACGGCAGGAGTGGCGGCATGGAGTGGCGGCATGGAGTGGCGGCATGGAGTGGCGGCATGGAGTGGCGGCATGGAGTGGCGGCATGGAGTGGCGGCATGGAGTGGCGGCATGGAGTGGCGGCATGGAGTGGCGGCATGGAGTGGCGGCATGGAGTGGCGGCATGGAGTGGCGGCATGGAGTGGCGGCATGGAGTGGCGGCATGGAGTGGCGGCATGGAGTGGCGGCATGGAGTGGCGGCATGGAGTGGCGGCATGGAGTGGCGGCATGGAGTGGCGGCATGGAGTGGCGGCATGGAGTGGGTACCTTGGAGACGTGGGCCGTGCCGATGAGGTGCACCACACACTCCGCTGATGTCCCCCCTGCACCGCCACCACTCGCCACACCACCACCACCACCACCGTTGCCATCCGCGCCACCACCACCACCACCATCATCACCCTGCTGCTGCCGCCACACCTGCGGGCATCTCAACACCACCACATTGCTGCTCCCCCCTCCTGCCCCCACCCCTCCCCCCGCCCCCTTCCCTTGCCCTTCCCCATCCCCTGCCCCAGCTGCTCGTTGCACCCCATCACCCTGCTCCCCCTGCCCCAACCGCCCCCCCGCCAACCGCGCCCTCAGCTCCGCCACCCGCCCCCCTGCGCCTTCGCTCGGCCCTGCCTGTCCGCCATGCGCACTGCCCTCCGCTGCTCCTCGCCCTACTCGCCCTCCCCCTTTTGCTGCCCCTCCTGCCCCTGTCCCCGCCCCTGCCTCCGCCCCTGCACCCTGCCGCCTCTGCCATTCCCCAGCCACCCCCCCTGCATGCTGCTTGTCGCCCCATCCCCTTCCCCCTCCCCTCCCGCTTGCCCCTCTGTGTCCCTCGCCGTGCGCCTGCCCCTGTGGACTGCGGTCCTGGCTGCCACACACGTGGCCCTCGCCATCCCCACCGCTGCCATCCCCAGCGCTGCCATCCCCAGCGCTGCCATCCCCAGCGCTGCCATCACTGCCCCCGCCACCAGCACCAGCAGCGGCGCCGCCGTGCTCCCAGCGCTGCCTGAGGGATGCGAAGCGAGACGGCGTGCGTGCAGCAGAGGGCGTCGGCTGGGCGAAGGGGGCAGGCGGGCAGTGGAGGGGGTGCAACACAGGAGAGAGGGGGAAGGAGAAAAGAGCAAGTGGGGATGAGCACGTGGAGATGAGCACGTGGAGATGAGCACGTGGAGATGAGCACGTGGAGATGAGCAAGTGGAGATGAAGGGGCATGGTGACTTGCAGGGGTGTGGAATGGCAGCACGTCACCCACGCACTCTTTACGCTTCACACTACTGCTCACCACCCCACCTGCTGAGCCTTGTGTGGCGGTGCGCCAGCAGCATCAGCTGCCAGGGGCCGTGCTGTCTCCTCGCCGCTCCCTCCCTGCCGCACCTCCACGCCTCTGCACTCCGCCATCCCACTCACTGCATCCACTGCTACCCCCACAGTGGCACGCCCGCCCTTCCCCCACACCACATCACTGCCTGTATGAACAACAGCAGCACCAGCAGCAGCAGCAGCAGCACTGCTCGCACACAGCGCCACCACCCCCTGAGGTGTTCCCCCCACGCCCCCCTGGACCCCGTCCGCCCCTGTGTGCCCCTCCACGCGCCCCTCAATCGGCCCCACGCCCCAGAAGTCGTCATCCCACTCGCCCGACGACCCGCTCGCCCCACGCCCACCCGCCTGCCGCTGCTGCGCCCTGCGCCGGCGCCGGCTGCTCCTCGCCTCCGCGCTGCGCCACGCGCCCCGCGGGGACGCTGCTGACGCCCTCCCTGCCGCTGCCGCCACCGCTGCTGCTGCGGGTGCCTTGGGGTGGCGGCGCTTGGGCCTCGCCTCTGCTGCTGCCGCCACTGCACGGCACAGCCATGGGCAGCACGTGTGTTGTGTAAGGCAGGGGAGGGCGGTGAGGACGGGAGGAGCAGCACAGCAGGCGCAACGCAATGGGCACAACAAGCACGTGAAGCAGCAAGCCAGCCTCACCTGATAGGGCACCTGCGGGGAGAGGTGAGCCGTCCACATGTGCTGTGGGCCGCCACGCTCCCGCACTGTCCATGGCATCACCGCTGCCACTGCCACTGTCCGCCGCATGCACAGCTGCTTCTGCTTCTTCTGCTGCTGCTGCCACGGCGGCAGAGCCAGCGAGGGCGGAGGGGGAGGCGTCAGAGGGCGAGCTGCCAGGCGACCACAGCTGCAGCACGCCTGCGCTGCTCTGCCCCCTTTCCTTCTGCCCCCTCCCCGCGCCCTGCCTTCCCCCCTGCGCTGCCGCACCGCCCGGCCCAGCAGCAGCCTCCAGCGCGGGCACGGCGGGTGCCGCCAGCCGCTCGCTGTCCTGCCCGCTGCCGTGGGGCGCATGGCCGCGCACGCGGAAGCTGGGGTAACGCCTCTGCAGCCCTGCTGCACCCGCCTCGCCACTCGCCTCGCTGCCCACCTGCTCCCCCTCACCCCCGCGCGTCCCCCTGCCTACTCTCACCGCTTCTATCAGCACGGGCTTCTCCGAGCCTGGCTTCTCCGAGCCTGGCTGCTCCACTGTTGAGCCCTCCACCTGCCGCGTCTCCGCCAGCCCTGCCTGCCCCGCAGCAGGCCCGCGAGGGCAAGCAGCCTCCGCGTGCTCCTCCGCGCGCCCTCCCGCGCTGCCCTCGCCGCCACTGGCCTGCGATGGCATGTCCGCCCCCACGCCACTGCCCCTACCCGCCATCAACCTGCTGCTGCTCACGTCGTTGCCGCACCCGTCCCACGCGCTGCTGCTGCGTGCCACACCACCGCCGCTAATCCCGCTGCCGGCACCGCTCGCACCGCTGATAGCGCTGGCAGCACTGGCAGCAGCGACATGGGCGTCAGTGCCGCGGCTACTGAGAGCGTCGTCGCCCCACCCTTTTAACGCCGCTGCTCCCACCCCACCCACACCATCACCTCGCGCACCTTGTGTGACGTCAGCAACAGCAGCGTCGCCGGCGTCGTCGTCCGCAGCAGCGGCGACGGACTCGTCCGACTGGCGGCGCCCCTCGGGGCTGTCCCACTCGCCGTCCCACTCGCCGTCCAGCCGCCCCAAGTCGCCGTACAACGCGAAGCCGTCGCCGCCCAACCCGGAATTGCCGGGCAACGGCGAGAGTAGCGGGGAGAAGAGCGGCGACGCGGCACCGCCCGAGGATTCGAGCGGCAGAGCGACGGACCACCACGGAATGTCGCTGTTCGCGTCGCCCAGCGACGAAAGATCGCCCGACGACGACGGCTTGGCGAGCGACGCCAGCGCGGCAGCGGAGCCGTCGCCGGCGCGCGGACTGGCGGCCTCCGGCGTTCCCGCGACAGGACTCATCGCGGCGTCCATCAGATCGCGCATCGAGCCGCGGCTGCGGATGGGTGTCCTGCTCCCATTGGCCAGCCCCCACCTGCCGGCGGGTGGGCGCGAGAAGGAGCGAGTCGCGGCGGCCCACTTGGTGGCGTCCGGCGCCGCCTTGCCGGACCGCCTCTTGGCCTCGCCGCTGTCCGCATAGGAGGTCGGCATCTCCCGCACGACGACGACTGCGCGCGTGCAGGGGAGGAAACACGAAAGCGAGTGACGCGTTCGTAGAATGGCTCGGAAATTAGTGCGACGGAGTAGCAGAGAAACGGATTAGTGGGGACTGACGTTCGAGGATGCAGTGACTATCACACGGTGTGCTAAGTTGTAGTACGCAAATCTACGGTACTACACTCGAGGATTATGACAATGACATTTTAATGTACAGCTATGCCCATTAGAGTCCCACATACTCGTACTACTTTTTGGGCCTATAAGTTTCCTTGCATTTCGCAAGGGTTCGTCAACCTCGCAGCTAGCAACATTGGGCTAGCAACGTTTGTTCTTTGCGAAACAAGGAAGGTTGGCATACTTTGTTGTATGTAGATCCTCTTTGTTATCATTGGTTCATCGTCATTGCATTGGCTATTTTGTTCCACATCTTGCCAGTTTGACGAACCACCTTCCTGGCTTGCTCGTCGGGTCTGTAAACCGCGTGCAACTGCCCGGCACCAATTGTTCACGGATTCGGGATTGGGTGTCAAATTATATCTATATGTTTTGGTAGTTTGCTAGGCTACACTGAGTTGCATAGTTACATATAACCTTGACATTTCTACCTTTACCTCTTGCCCTACTACTCTATCATCACTTCCGCTAGTTACTACTCTGAGATGGTAACATAGGGTGTTCCTAGGCCTAAGTTTCACCATATTCCTTACTCATTATCCCCCTAATTACTCCCTCCAGCCAGCCAGCCACCTTAAGCCCATTGTAGCGCCACCTGCCAGCCTGCCGTCCCGTTTCCCTCAGTCGTGCGCCCCTAGCCAACAACGACGCATGCCCTTAGAAGCAGCGCGCTCCCCGCTGTAAGCAGCGCGCATATCGCAAGCAGCAGCGCGAGCCCCGCCACAGGACACGCGCACACTGCCAGCAGCATTGCGCACTCCACTGCAGGCTACTCGCGCACACCCAGCAGCAGCACGCGCATTGCTGCAGCAGCACGCGCTATCCCAGCTGTACGCCTAGGCAGCAGCGTGCGTTACTGCAGCAGCACGGCTAGGCAGCATCGTGTGTTACTGCAGCAGCACAGCTAGGCAGCAGCGCGCACTGCTGCAGCGCGCATTGCTGTAGGACGCCTCAGGCAGCGAGTATTGCTGCAGCACCGCACCTCAGGCCAAGCATTGCCGTGCACAGCAGCAGCCACGTACGCAGCAACTGCCACGCATGCGACTGCCACAGATCGCCCGCGGCCCCCTCCTCGCCGCCCACAGATGCAACTGAGCGCATCACAGCACCTACTGCTACCTACATAGCATACGCAGCAGTGCACTGCTGCATTGCACGTAGCAGCTCCAACTCACAGCCGCACACGGTTGCGCCCAGCGCAGTGATCTCGCCCGCCCGTAGCTGCCTATAGCCCTCCTAAGCTGCCCATAGCCCCTCCCAGCCACCCACAGCCCCTCCCTGTCACATACGGCCCCTTCTAGCCGCCTGCAGCCCCTACCAGCCGCCCATAACCCCTCTCGGCAGCAATAGCTGCGCACACAGCAGCCGCTGCGCACGCTTTTGCTGCTACCGCCACCGCCAGACACCAATAATGCCAGCAGCACCAGCCACAAGCAGTGCTAGCCCCACCAGTGCCCATTGCCTCGTGCACGCCTCCAGCCACTGGCACACCTAGCAGCGGCGGGTAGGCGAAATCACTTTTCTTGACGTAGCTTCGGTTTTGTGGCCCGACTGGCGTTCCCAGCCCGCCTTGCCTACCCGACCGTTCCTAGGCTGGTGTTTCTTCGTCGGTAGTTCCTTGTCTTACTCCTGTCGCTTCTAGCTCCAGCTGTTACTCTCTCCAGCCGCTCCTAGCTTCAGCCGTTCCTAGCTCCAGCTGCTTCTAGCTCCAACCGCTCCTCGCTCCAGCCGCTCCTTGCGCCAGTAGTAGTTCCTAGCTTGGCGTTTCTAGCTCCGACCGTGTCTCACTCAAGCCGTTCCTCGTTCCAGCTGTGTCTAGCTCCAGCCACTCTTCGCTCCAGCCGCTTCTAGTTCCTGCTGCTCCTAGCTCCAATCGCTCCTTGCTCAGGCCGCGTCTAACTCCAGCTACTCCTAGCCTGCCTCTCCTACGCGCAGCTAGCCTTTACTATGGCGTCCACTAGGAACAGTAGCACCGGCAGTTTCAGCAGTGGGAACCTCAGCAGCAGCGGCACCCGTAGCAGCAGTGGCACCCTCAGCAGCAGTGGGGTCCTGGTGGTCCAGGTAGCGTTAACTGCACCAGTCGCCCAGCCAGCTTGGGGGCTCGTCGCGGTGGCCGCGACGTCGGCACCTGCCAGTACCGGCCCTCGTGCTAGCACTACTTGCTGGCATCCTGACCACTCTGCACTGCGCTGCTATAGCCGCCTCGATGACCTTTACCGTGAGCGTTTTGGGCCTGACTCGGCTCCCCCGATTTGGTCCGGTTTGTCTTGTAGTGGTTACCGCGTGTTTGATATGTCTATGGATGTTTTTTATTCTGTTATGTATTGATCTCTTGGTTTGCGTGTACCCAGCTTAGGAACTTTGCCTGATGCTAGTGTAGGTGCTTGTGCTTCTAGTGTAGGTGCTTGTGCTTCTAGTGTAGGTGCTTGTGTGGTTACTAGTCCAGCTGTGACGACTGCTGACGCGTCACTCTCCTTCACGCTAGACTCTGGCGCGTCTCAGTGCTTCTTCCATGACCACACCACTGTCACACCTCTTGCTGCTCCGGTCCCAGTTGCCCTGACTGATCATACTTGAAGACCAGCAATCGCTCGCAGTTCTACCACCCTCTTGTGCCCGGCTGTCCCCTCTGGTTCCCTCACTGGTCTCTATGTCCCCTTGTTCTCTCGGAACTTGGTGGGTGTTGGATACCTTCAGGACCGTGGGATCACAGTCACGTTTCCTGCACACGGGAGGACTACGATCTGTACGGACGCTTCCACTGGAGCACTTTTTGCCACGTTTACCAGAGAGCCCCACTCAAGTCTCTTCGTCTTACACACTCCGCCCCCACAGATAGCTGCTTTAGGTCAGGTTGCTGCGTCTTGCTCTTGTCGGTCCCTCACCCACCCGACAACTTTGTGGCACCACCGTCTTGACCACCCGTCCCTCCCCTGCCTCTGCAGCATGGATAGTCATCGTCTTGTCTCGGATCTCCCATGCGTCTTTGCGTCGCTCCCTCCCTCGACTGCGCCGTCGTGCACTCCTTGCGTCAAGGGTCAGCTGCGCGCCACTCCTCACTCCTCCTCCCTTCGTCCGACCACAGCTCCCTTCCAGACCCTCTGCTTGGACGTCTGGGGCCCAGCTCCTTGACTTGGACCCGAGCGGGAGCGCTACCTTCTGGTGGTCGTTTATGACTACTCCAGGTACACCACGGTGTTTCCTCTAGCGAAGAAGTCCGAGGTGACTTCTACGCTGATCCGGTGGCTCTTGGCCACTGAGGGCACTCGTGGTAGTCGTTTCCGTTGTCTCCACTCCGACTGTAGGGGTGAGTTTCACTCCGACGTGCTTGCCGGATACTGTGGCGAACAGGGCATCACCCAGTCCTGGACGCTTCCGGAGTCCCCACAGCAGAATGAGGATCGCTCGCACCTCCATGATCCATGCCCGTGCGCCCCATTTTCTGTGGCCCTATGCGGTCTGCTACGCCGCCCACCAGCTGAACCTCTGGCCTTGTGTCTCACAACCAGGGGATTCCCCGATCAGTCCTTGGACCGGGTCCCCTGGTGTTGCGTCGGGGTTTCGAGTCTGGGGCTGCCTTGTGCTTGTCCGCGATACCGCTGCACACAAGCTCTCAGCTCGCGCCATCCCTTGCGCCAACCCTAGCTCTGAGGGGGTTGGAGCTGGAGGCACTCCTGCTTCGACGCCTTCTTCACCTCCCCACCGTCATGACACACATTACCAGGCTGCTTGTCGGCATGCGCGCGAGGAGCAGGAAAGGTTGGCGCAGGAGAGGCAGGAGCCGCAACAGCTGGACCAGCAGGAGCAACAGCATGTGCAGCAGGAGCAGCAGCAGCAGCGGCCGCAACAACAGCCGTAGCAGCAACAGCAACAACCGCCCCTTATGCAGCAGTTGTTCCCACCACTGACTGGCCTTCGGGCCCTTGGTCTTCCCTCCTCTCCTCCTGTCCGCTCACAGTCTCCTACCGCGTACGGTCCTACATTTCCTCCTGTCAGCTCCGGCTGTTTTCTCTCCTCCTCAGTCCCAGTCGCCTCCTCCTATTGTCCCGCACGACTGGACCACTCGTTATCCTCCGCGTGCTCGTCCCTCGTTTCCTTTTGACGACCTCCGCACTGTCTTGTTTCGTTCTAGTCCCTGTCGTGCTTCTCGCCTGTGTATGTTCTCCCGTCACCTCCTGAGTCATCTCTCACTGTCTCCTCTCACCCTATCACTGACTACTACAATGTTGCTCGCCCTGTTGTCACACGTGTTCTCGCCTCTCTTTTCACGGACCCTCGTGCTTCTCCGTCGTCTGTCTCGGCTCTTTTCACGGACCCACGTGGTGGCTGCTCCTCCTACCCATCCTTTGTCCGCGAGGGGTGAGTTTGCCCTTGGCTGTGACGTCCTAGATGACAAGCAATTTGAGCTAGAGTTCTTGGCAGCCGCTTCCCCCTCCCTTTGTGCCATGCTGCTTTCCCCTGAGGGAGACCCTGACGCCTTTGACATACCGACTCCTCGTACGTATCGTGAGGCAGTGTCGGGCAGTGTGCCTCTCAGTGGAAAGCGGCCATGGACTCAGAGATAGCGTCTTGGAGATCCACAGGCACCTACATCGACGCAATTCCCCCTCCCAGGGCGAACGTAATCGACGGCATTTGGATCTTCAAGGTGAAGCGGCCGCTTGGATCACCGCCTGACTTCTAGGTGCGCTACGTAGCTAGGGGCTTCAGTCAGTGTGAGGGAGTTGACTTCTTTAAGACCTTCGCCCCGACCCCGAAGATGACTACTCTTCAGGTGTTACTTCACGTAGCAGCGCAGCGAGACTACGAGCCGCACT